TTAATAATGGATTGCTGTACTATAGCCGATCTAGCGGATACGCCATGAATTGTGGTTCCACGCTATGATGATGTCTTCTCTATGAGGCCCACGACACCCCACTCAGTCGTATTTTCGGTCGTGGGAAGACATACAGCTCTGTGAGTTGCCACTACTGGTGGCCAAAGCTACAGCTCTGTGAATTGCCACTACTGGTGGTCTAAGCTGTACAAATGGACGAGCACAAATGTGCGCACATGTGATACGTGTCAGAGGGTGAAATCCTCTCCGAATGCGACGGCGCAGCTGGCCAGTTTACCGGTACCCTTCGGGTGTTGGTTGACCATGAGTATGGACTTTGTGCTTGGCCTGCCAAAGGACTCGGCGGGCAACACGGGTGTGGTGGTCTTTGTGGACCGTTTGGGCAAGATGACTCATCTTGCGGTCGTGCAGGACATTATCGACGGTGTAGGTACAGCAACGCTGTTTCTGGTGCTGGTATTCTGACATGGACTCTTGGAGTCAATTGTCTCTGACAGAGACCCACAATTCACTGGGAAGTTCTTGTCTACAATATTCAGGGTGCTGGGCACCGAGTTGACTACGTCGACAGATGACTATTCGCAGACCGATGGTCAGAATGAGGGTGTGAATTGCGTCGTTGAAGACGCTCTTCGCAGCTTCTGCTCTGAGACGTCGAAACACTGGAGCGCGATGCTGTCACTTGTAAAGCTCGCTCTGAACAATGCAATACATGCGTCAACCAACTTTACGCCATTCTATGTGAAAGGGCTTATTAATGTTCGTGTCCCTCTGACGCCGCCATCCCATGGCTCAGGGATTGTTGGGGGGAAGCCGAGCGGCTAGCTGTATCAGTCCCCTCACTGTCCGTAGAGAAGTCAATGACTTTCTGTTTATCAGACTGAGTGTCGTATAGCACGTTCGCAATGCGATCGCTGAAAGCCAGGGTGTGCACAATGAATAGGCAGACGAAAGAAGCAGAGGAACTTTTAGGTCAGAGACCTGGTTTTATCAAATGTTAAGAACCTTCCTACACCGGTAGTCTCTACTGTCTTTAAGACAAAGCTCCGTCCACGGTTTCTTGGCCCTTTTAAGGTCGTGACCAAGCGAGGTATTGCGTATAAGCTAAACCTTCCAAGAAGGATGCGCACCCACCCGGAGTTTTATGTGCGCTTGCTTAAGCCGTACCGGGATCCGGAACAAGTGAAATGGAAGCGTTAGTGTCGGGGCGGTGCCCATAGGTGCTCGAATACCCATAAGCTGAACCAGCAACTGGTTTTGGGCACGGAGTGCAACAATACCCGTTTCTAACGGCGCCAGGCGCTCCAATGTTGCACGAAGTGACGTATTCGTCTCCTTGACGGTCTGGAGTCGCTCCGATACAGCGCAATAGTCATCAACGTGAGGCAGTCGGTGCACAAAGTGCTTCAAGCTCTCGAAGTCATTCCCACAGCGGAGGGCGACCTCGGCAAGATGTTTGGCGGAGTATCGATGACGACGGAATATGTCCTCAAATTCACGAAGAGCATAGCGAGTAACTGGACGGCGATCGACTGAGAAGTCATCGTCTCTACTCGATAAGAATAGTGGCGTCCACTATCACGTGAAAAGTTACACGCTATAATTGCGCAAGTAGTTGGCGAGACTAAGCCACTTGCGCAAGTCCTTTTTGTTCCTTGGAGCCGGCCAGTCCACAATGGCATTGACTATAGCGGTATCCGCTCGAAGGCCATGCTTCACAATCAAGCGCCCTACAAAAAGGAGCTTATTCAAGGCCTAAGATGCACTTTTCTGCATTAGTATACATTCGCATGCACTCAAACACCGCTCTCAAATAGACGATGTGGTTTTCCACATCTGACATCATGTTCCCCGTACGACTGAGGACGGAGATGTCTTCGAAGTATGTGTGTGCATACGTCCGATGGGGCCTGAACAACTCCGTCACAAGACGATTAAATGTTTCTGGTGCATTTGATTTGACAGCCCTTGGGGCATCACCAGCCACTCCCAGATCATCCCACTCGGTGTACACACCGCTGTCCGCGGAATATCACTCACTATCCTAAGCAATTGGTGATACATATTGAGCATTCCGATTACTTGGTACTTTGTGCAGCCAACCATATTGATCTGTAGAACATTCATGCTAGAAACTGGGGTCTGTGCCGGAATGGTGGCAGCTTTTAGATTATTGTAAGCGTGAACGACATGCCACTTGCCGTTCGGCTTCCGAACACAAAATGTGGGTGTCGAATGAGTGGACTAGCTCTCACGCAACATTCCTGGGTCGTGCTTCACACAAAAAGGCGTCAATAAAGTCACACTGCTCTTTGAACAGGGGCCATTGGCGTGTTACGCAGTATTTGACCCCGGGACCAAGTCAATTTGATGACGCACACCGTGGTCCGGAAGTAGGACCGACGACGGGTCTTTGGTGACGACATTCTAAAGTTTCTTCACCAAAGGATAGTATGAATCTGAGGAATTCTCCAAGACCGACGATCCACTTTTTGGGCTCAGCACCTTCTTGGTGTCCCCCAAAACAGCAGCAGCCAGAAGCGTCGACGAGTTAATATCCTCGTTCGGTTTTATAACGACCAACTCGGGTAAACCACCTGCGTTCAAGGCACCTCAAACTCTTCGAAGGACATCTCGTCCAGCTCAAGAAGAGCATCAACCGCAGAAATTCTCACGAGGGTGACGTCACCATCTTCATCTCCCGTCATACCGTTGACAAAGGTGTATAGCTGTGTGCTATCGTCTACGCGGTAGACACACCCTCGGTCAGGGTCGACGCCTTGCGTATTGCAGACAACATACGGCATCGCAGTCGCCTCTCCACAGAGGCTGTATCTCGACGAGACCAGTTTGAACACGCACTCATGTGTCGTCCAGTGTTAGCCCCACTTCCTGCTTCACCGAAGCTCCGATATTATCTACAACATCCGACGAAGAACCGCTAACTCCGCAGTCTTCGTCCAGTGGATACCGTGCCATTCCACGCGCATCTGAAGGGCCGTGCCCAAATGCCTCGGACTCTGTCCATCACGCCATCAATGGCATGCAGGTACAGCTTCGCAATGAGAGCAGTGCTCAGTGGTTTTCGTGCCAGTTCACGTGCATCACGGGTGCCTCGCCCTCGATGTCTCGGCCCTCGGTCAACCATGTCACGCATGACATGCAGCGACTGCTCCAATAAGTGATCCTC